TGAATGAAATTTATGAGACTAGGAATGGTAAAATCACTGTAATGTTTACATAATAAGGCACTAAATGGTTGACAAATTATTTTCTGAAAAAATGCTTTTGAGCTGTAATGTCATGAGTTTTCATTTTTTATTTTTCTGTTTACAGCCTGCTCCACCAAGAGAAGCACACTTCGTGAGAACTAATGGCAAGGATCCAGAGCTGCTGGAGCCAATTCCTTATGAATTCATGGCATAATGTATGTTTAAAAAATAAACTAAAGATATGGTTTTGGACAAGTGTATGTGATTGTGGCTGATTCATTTAGTTGGGTTTGGGGCTTTTGTGTTTGAACAGATGCTTTAGAAACCTTCTTTTATTGAAGTTTATTTATTTAGCTTGCATTTACCATGATGCTTAGTCATTTAAATCATCTGCAGCTTTTGCTGACGAATTTCATCATTTATATAGATGATAAATGCTAAGAACACTGAAACTTGCTAGTGCTTAGTAATGATCATGAGCTATTATGAGGGGCCATGGAATATTTCACCAGCAGACTAAGAACTTGTATCAAAATCACCCAGTGCTACTTAAAGGTTTTTTGTTTGTTTGTTTTTTTTTTGTTTTTGTTTTTTTGTGGTTTTTTTTGTTGTTTTTTTTTTTTGTTGTTGTTGTTTTTGGTTTTTTTTGTTTTGTTTTTTGTTTGGTTTTTTTTGGTTTTTTTTTGTTTTTTGTTTTTGTTTTTTTTTTTTTTTTGTAGGAAAAGAGATAAGGTGTTTCAGATTTCATTCATGCAAGGTTTTGGCTAAGGGGCCTCATGAATACTGAGGAATTGTTGAAACCATTTTTGAAAACAACCTCTAGGGAAATGTCTAGGCAAATTTTGTTCTTCCACCAGTGTAACTTGCAAAATAATGTTTACAGCATCCCCATGCCAATAAGCCTTCTTACAAAATAGTGGTAGTTTAGAAACCAGAACTGCCAGCCTTTGTATTTTGATTTTTAACATTTTAATTGGCTCGTATAGCTACTAAACACTTTCATTTTATATGTTTATTGCATGCCTGTTGAATGTTGCAGTGAATTCCTCTCATCCCAGATTTACTCATGTCTCACAAAAGCCCACTGCCACCTGTGCAGTTCTTAAATGGAAGAAGATCTTCAGCTGACTGTTTACTAACCAGTGCTGGTTTAGTGAGCTTTGCTTGAAGCAGTGTGCAGCCTTCTAGAGACTGCTGAAGGGAACCTGCTTGGTTAGCCTTGAAAACGCACAGTCTCAGGCTTGTTTTGTAGTTACAGGTAAATAATAGTTTACCTTGAAATGTCATGTCAGGCATTGCTCAGCTACCTTCAGTAAGTGATGTAAAACTAATGTCTACGTGTAGACAGAAGTACTAGAGCAGCAAGTGATCTCAAGCTGTTTGTAGGTGTACACTGCTGAGCATTGCTGAACAGTGAATTGCAGGGCAGCTTGTAAGTGTGGGAGTAGGGAACACAGAGATGAGGTTTGCTTTTACCTAACTCTCGATGGTGGGTGTTCCCATTCCCATGGAATGTAGGTTTCAGACCTTGAATTCAGAGTCTGGCTTGGGCTGGTATCTAAGGGTGAAGGGCTTTAGGTTGGATGGGCTGGAGTTTCCAAGTTCCAGTGAGCAGATTGCTATGTTTGAAGTCCTCTTAAGCTCCCATCTCAGAAGATGCAGCAGGCTGTACATGTGGAATGACTTTGGAAGTGACTTGGAGGAGCATGCCCCTTAGCAGGCTGCTCCGTGACAGTAGAGCTGTGCACCATATGCACTTGGCTTTTATGGTCAAGGGGCTTTTCTTGGAGCAGCAAGATTTGTGTGCTTTATCAAGTTCTTTAGCTTGTCAGTTTCCACAGCCATTTAAAAGTGGTATTTGCCCTACAAGATAAGCATCATTTTCCACTAGGCTTTGTAGGAATTAAGTGGGAGGCTATTGGATACAGACTGGTGATGGCATTTTAAATTTGCTTCTCATGCATGCATGTCTAGGCTATTTTGGTTCTATGTTCGGTTAGTACTCATTTGTCAAAATCACGGCAGATTAGCTGTAGCAGCATGATGAAATTAACATCATAAGTGGGGCACAGTTCTAAACTTTTTGAACTTACTTTAAACAAATTGGAATACTAAGACTGGGCAGCATTACAGTGGTCTTGTTTAAGAGCTGTGCTCCAGGAGACACTGCATTGCAACACTATTCAATTCATTTAGAAAAAGTGTTTTTAAGGTCACTATGCCAATGGTAGTTGGTTGTAAATGCATATTTGGAAGCCCTCTGGCCTGGGAAGTGAGGTTGGGAAGGTTTTCTTGGTCAGGATTCCCAGAAATGACTGAAAATGAATCTGGGTTTGTACAGGAAGAAAATAACCTTTTTTGTTTGTTTGTTTTTAATGTTTGTAAAGAGGACAAATAAACGAAGTTGTAGCCTGTTTGTTGCACTTAGTGAAGTGGGGGTTTTCCACACTCATCTGAAGTTTCACAGCCCAGACACTTAACAGATCTCAGTACCTGATCTCAGCTGCTGAAGTTTGCTTCCTGTGTGTTTGGCTGCCCTGTTTTTGCACAATCCTGACGAAAGAGGGAGATCTGTGAATTGGGAAAAGCTGAAGAACTGCCTGTAGAGACATCTCCAGTCCTGAGCTGAAACAGGAAGCATGTTCCTTACAGGGTTTGGAGTCACCAGTTTTGACTTGCTCTGGAAGGGTTTTACACACTAAACCCATGAGCTGTAACCAGTTCTCTGCAGTCCTGTTCTGAGGCTCCTTTACAGCCACAAACCTTTACCCCTGGCAAAATCTCCTGTTATCTCCGAGAGAAGCGGCAAGGAAGCTGCCTTCTGAGCTGTCAGCTTCATCTTTTTTAGCCTATTGGCAACAGCAGGATTTGAGGTTTCCTGAGCACTGTGTAGGCAGTATCAGGCAGGGAGGGTCAGTGAAAAGGCAGGACTGGGAAGTGGGAGGAGGAACCATACAGAGGCTGCATGGGGTAGGAACATTGCTCCCACCAGCAGCACCCATACAGCTTAGGAACTCAGAAAAATAATAAAAAAAGAAGCTCCAGATGTTCTCAGGATGTTCTCCATGCCACCGTCACAGGAACAAGCCACCTACTCTCCCCCCAAAAGTACTGCTGTTGAGTGTTGCCAGAGCTTGGAACAGGGGGATGTGTCAGGCAGCAGTATGGCATACCTGGCACTGAGCAGTGTTGCTGAGGGAAAGGGGATTGTGATGGGCCATAGGGATAGTGGGATTGGCCATCTACAGAGGAGGTTAAAAAAGTACAGCCTGGCACTTCCAAGTCGGGCCTGCAGAGCAGAGAAAGGCCCCTTGGAATAGCATGGAGCCTCACACATGCCAGGGGTGCTTAGTCTGAAGCATGGGGACAGCTAATCTGGGCCCCAAATGCTTCAATTTACTGAGCTGCTCCTGTTGTACCTGGGTAGGTGTTGATAGAGACACAGTCCATCACATCCTGCACATTAATTCCTTCACAGGGTGTCCTGCCTGGGCTTGGGCAACATTATCTCTGTGCTTGACCACCCCCACTTTTCCTTTGGGGATGCTCCCAGCAGCAGGCAAGGCAGCTTGAGTTGTACAGGAGAAAGAGGCAGCTCCTTCAAGGTTTGAGGACAGTTGTTCAATGCTGCTTTCACAGCTCAGCACCTGGGAATCTTCTGCCTGGAACGGACTTGTTTCAGTAGCATTCTTTCAGGGGCACACTGAATGTACTCTGATAGCTCTTTTGTAAAGAATTGTATAAAAATAGCTGCTGCTGGCTCTGTGAGTGAGGCCAAAGACAAGCGATGCCCCGACACTAGGGGGAGGTGACGATAGCGGGAACCTCTGGAAACCAAAAGCTTTTAGTGATACAAGAGAAGTCTTCTTTCCCAAAAGAAAAGAGCTTGTTGGCCTGATTGGGAGTAAAGTAGAAACTTCAGGGGCAATAGTTTTTGGAAGTGAAAAGAAACCCATAAGGGTTCTTGGGCACTAAAGTAGCACAAATAATCAACAGTGCTTCTTCCACTATGCTTTTCTGCAGGTACTACTTTAACTGATGTAATTAGGATTGTCTTAACTCAGCTGCCTGTGTGTGAACATCCAGGGTCGGTTGGGCTGTCCAAGCCATCTGCAGCTCTCATGGTGACTCCATCCCTCTGTGCCATGAGATCAGTCCATTTGAGTACCATCCACTGTCCTTTTCCATGTTGTATCCTGCTGGCATGTGCTATCTCCCTGATAAAAATGAAAGCAGCCTCTGAATGGATTATTTATTTTTTAAGTACTCACACAGTTGCAGGGCAGCACAGAGCAGAAGCAGGAGCCAGGGCAATGGTTTGTGGAGACTGAAACATCTGCACAGCTGCTTGCAGGTCTGAGGCTGTCCTTAAATAGGACTGGCCTGATTGGGAGTACCATTCTTCTCCAAAACTTTTCTACTTCAAAAGCCCAAAGGGCCCAATCAAGACCACTCAGGTTTCAGGGCTGGCTGTTGTTTGATCCACAAGCTGAGTTTTCAACATTGGCTGTAGAAGGATATGTTCGGGTATAGAAACAAAATAGTATGAGGTAAAATAATCATTTCCTTTCTTTCAAGACTGGAGTCCCTCACTGCTGAGAGGGTGGTGCATTTGCCTGTCTTCCTCGGGCGGGGGGGATGCCCGGCAGGATGCTCGCCCCTGCCGTGGGACGCAGGTTGCACAGCCTGCCGAGGCTGTCCGCCAGACCCCTGGGCTGTGCCTGCCCGGACCACTCCACGCCCTGGCAGTGGGGAGGGTGGGAGAAAGAGGGAGAGGTAGAAGCCGGGTGGGTAAATCGAGCGGAGAGGGCGGTACGGCGGGGGGCGGTGCAGCGGCAGCGGGGCGGCCCCAGGGCGGAGCCGCCGCCGGGGCCTTTAAAATCCGCTCGGCTCCACCGAACCGAGCGGAGCCGTGCGAGCCCTCCGGCCGCCGAGCCGCCTCTCCCATGCGCCTGCCGAGCATGTCCCAGCCCTTCCTGCTGGCGCCCATCGCCGAGTGCCCTCCGGGGCCGCCCGGCGCCCAGGTCCGCCTGGCCGTGCTGGGTGCCCGCGGCGTCGGCAAGAGCGGTGAGTGCGGGGATGCCCGTCCTCTTCCCCTGCCCGTCCTCTTCCCCCGTCTGTCCGTCCGTCCGTCCGTCCCAACTAACGCGGCGCTCTGTGTTTCAGCCATGATCGTGCGGTTCCTGACCAAGCGCTTCATCGGCGACTACGAGCCCAACACAGGTGAGGCGGGCGGGGCGCGGCGGGGCCGGGCGCGGCGGGGCCCCGCATCCGTCCGGGCTCACGGCTCTCTGCTCCACAGGCAACCTCTACTCCCGGCTCGTACATCTGGACGGGGACCACGTTGCCGTGCAGATCCAAGACACGCCGGGATGCATTCAGGTACGGAGATGTTTTGGATCAATCGGTTCTCCTCTGCTACCCAAAGGCTCAGCTTTTGAGCCCAAATTTCCTGCATGCCCAGACTTGGTCACCTGAGACAGAGCTCAGGCTTCCCTTTGGACCCGTTTGATGGTGCTGTGCTTGGTCTTCATACTCTCATGACCCAATGCCGAATCTGTGCTCTCTGTTGTACTGCAGGTGCAGGAGGACTGTGTGCAGGTGCTGGACTCCCTGTCCCGGTGTGTGAAGTGGGCAGAGGGCTTCCTGCTGGTCTACTCCATCACAGACTACAGCAGCTACCAGTCTGTCCAGCCTCTCTACCAGCACATTCGCAAGGTGCACCCCGATGCCAGGACTCCCATCATTATTGTGGGGAACAAAGCAGACCTCCTCCACGCCAGGCAAGTACAGGCAAAAGAGGGACTACAGCTGGCAGATGAACTGGGCAGCCTGTTCTTGGAAATCTCCACCAGTGAGGACTCCCAAGGTGTCTGTGATGTCTTCCAGTACCTTTGCAAGGAGGTCAGCAAACTACAGCATGCCAGCAGCACGGACAGGAGGCGGTCATCCATCATCCCTCGGCCCAAATCTCCCAACATGCAAGATCTAAAGAGACGTTTCAAACAGGCTTTATCTTCCAAAGTCAAGTAAACCTCCCACTGACATCCTCTGGGACTCAATAGAATTTATTTTTGTAAACTAGTTAATAAAAATCTTTATTTTTGTACTAATGCCAGCAGTGTAGAAGTAAGTATGTCAAAGCTTGCAATCTCCTTGCTGTTCTCTCATTTGACTGCTTGGGTTATTTCTAAAGGAAAAAAAAAGGAAAAAAAAGCTGCACAGCAACTAAATAAAGGTAGTTGGAAAGGGGACTTTTGCCAGGAGGCTTTGATTCCATTTCTTTTTTGGGGGGACTTGGATTTTCTGTATTTAGCTATTCATATGATTTTCTCTGGAGGCTTCAATTTCCTGTTTGTAAAATGGGAGTGTTAATGATGTAAATCATTACCTGCCTTTATACAATGCTTGGAAAGCCCTTGGTGGAAAACTTTGTAGGAGATAAAAGAAAGATCCCTTCATTAAACATGAAAATACAAAAGTGTCTGTAAGAATTCTGGTTATAACAGAACTGTTTTCTCCCTCAAAGCTGCTGTTTTGCTTGCACCTGTAATAGCCTGAATGCTGATAGGCTGTTAGGAATGAGCTCAAATTTCTCATGTGCCTTAGAGATCTGTTCTACAGAATTAAAAATTTGAGCCCCAAGCATTTAACAGGAGGGTTGAGTTTCTCCTACAGATTGCTGTGGAACAAAGTGCTGAGCAATCCACAGCAGAGGAGTGTGTGGGTTGGCTGTTGCTTTCTCTGGAGATGTATGATAGGAAGGACTGATGCGTAGGCCTTTTTCCTTGGACAGAAAATAGCTACATCTAAAAGGAATCACACCTTTATCTTCCCTGGAGTAATTTTGTAGCTATTGGAAACAGGTCAGGCTTTACTCTTCCTTCACATAAACTCTAAACCATACTAGAATGGGTTTTATTAACTGTTTGCTGGATGTCTGAGCATGGAATGTAGGTTTTGCCCTTTCAGTATGCTTCTGAATTATGTATGTGAGCAATAAAACTACTCCATGCTGAGTAGAAAGTGTGGAAGTAGATTAATCTGTACAGGGGAAACTCGCTGTCCTTACTCAAGTGCAAGTCCAGTAAGGTTTATTTTATAAAATAAAATAGGTAAGTCAAAAGACCACTTCCTTCTTTCCTTGTGTTAGGAAAGGCAGGTAGGTGCTGTGCCTTGCAGTTAGTGGGCAGTCCCTGTTGTTTCTGATCCCTGGGCCTTGAAGCTTCCTGGGCCACCTTCACTCTTTATCTGCATCTGAGTCTTCCTGATGGTGTTAATTGAGGGAAGGGGGACTGAGCATGTTCAAGATGATGCTCTGTGCAGAGGCACCAGAGGGTCTGGGCAGGGGCAGGCGGTGCCAGCAGCCCTGTTCCCCACCCAGGGCTATGTGCACCTCTTCAGCTCAGGCATGTCACCTGTATGTCTCCTCCCTGGAGGCCCTGTGCTGCCCAGCCAAAGGGCACAGGAGAGCTGATACCCAGAACTGCAGGAACAGACTGAAACCGGGACTGCAAGCTGGGGCCAAAACTCTTGGAGCTAATTCATGTCAAAAGCACAGTGACAGCCTGGACAAACCAAATACTGCTTAAACATGTTAATACAATACTTAACACATGTTAAATATTTCTTCACTGTGGGAGTTGCTCTGCCAGGCCCAGGATTCTGGGCTTGAGGAGAGCAGGATGATGGGGTTGGTGAGAATGAGCATGTCCCTGGCAGACTTGAACTCACCACATGGACCATGTGTCCATGGGGAAATTTGAAGAGGAATTGAAAAGTCACAAGTGGGATATTTGTGGAACATGTCACCATCTTTAAACCAGGATAACAAATTGTTTCCAAGAGAAAATACCACTCTGGTAGAGTTTCGGTTGTTTTTTTTAACCTGCAGCTTTTGGAAATTATTTCCTACTCATGTATCCAGTACAGAGTTTCACCAAGCAAGTTGCTAAAGATGTACACACATGGTACAAAATATGCTAAAGGATCAGGTAATGTGATTGGACAAGTCTGCATCTTACCATGGTCTTCAATGGCCAGGTGAAAAATCACACTGGGCACTGACTTAGGTGCCTCCCACTGCCCCTGGCAAAGCAGGAGCTTGGGTCCTCACTCTGGTACAGGAGAAGAATTTGTGTGAGAACCAGTGGGCACTCAAGGGGTAGGGATGGGCAGGAGCAGGGCGATAAATTTTCCTCATCTCTCTCTCATGGGAAAAAGCTAGAGGCGGCTCTTGCTACATAGGCACCCATACTCAGGTCAAAGGTGCAAAATCTCCTGTCTCCATCCCATGATTCTCATGCTGCTGGGCTGCTTCAGCCACATGTGCGGAGTAGGATGATCCCCTCCTCAGGGATGTAAGGGGAATCTGGATGATTAGGGTGTGTCTGTGGCAGGAAGGGATGGCTGCTCTGATATGCCTCCAACTTAAGGCAGCAGCTGCTTTGGCCCACGCTGGGTAACACTTTTGGGTAGAGGTACATAAATTAGGCATTTATGCTGTTTGTCTGAACTTCCCCTGGCTGGCACAGATCTACTCTAACCCAGAAGTTTTCAAGCCTGAGCTGGCAAGTAAAGCACAGGAAGAACCTGATGGCTCCCAGCACATTTTAGCCCAGCATTTTCTTCAGTCCTGTAAAGCTGGAGCAAAGTCCTGAGCAAAGAGGGCCCACCAGGGCAGGGAGGGCAAAGCATCTCACAAGTACTAGCAGAGCAGCTCCAAAGCCTTGTTTCTCTGGGGCCATGTCCACTTATGCCTTTCCTACTGAATACTTGCCATCCCCAGTTTTTAAGCCCTTCACAGAGGGGGCAGGGTAGCTTCAGGAGGGTAAGTGGTGTATAGCCTGGCCTTTTCTCCTTGATCAGAGGAAAATATGCATCTGTCTCTTTCCTCCCACCACCTCCGCTATGAAACAGAATCACAGCAATTTTCCCTGACAAGATGGATGAGTGGGTTTTCAGAAGCAGGGATGTGTGCAGCATCACACACTATTATGGCTGCTACTACATCAGCATCTCCCCCCTGTTGGACTATTTTGTCTGCTTATCTCCAAGCTCTGAAATCATCCAGTAATGCTTTAAGGCTTCATGAATTTTAAAATAGCAGCTGCCATCAACCTGTTCTGTGCACTTCAACTCAGCAGCTGCACATCCCTAGACAGAGATAGGGGTGTTTTCTTCAAAAAGCTTTATGGATGTCCCCTTTATTTTCTGCCCCACTTGAGCACCTCGACCCAGGATGCTTCCTCACTGTCTCTTGATGGGGGCTTGCCTCTCAGCACATGAAATGGTCAATGCTGCAGGTTCATGCTGTTTTCTGTGGTTTGTTTGTAGGAAGGATTGTGAACAAGGCAGACTGTGAACAAGGACTGTGTTCACACCGTGGGCAAGAGTTGGGTTCAAGCTTCAGTCAGGGAGCAAAAGTGAAAAAGTGATAGAGATATGGACGGATGGATGGATGGATGGATGGATGGATGGATGGATGGATGGATGACTGGAAACAAATCTGCATGCCACACATGGATCTCCTGTAAAATGATTTTATTCCTGTGGGACTTCATTAGCTTTTGCTGAATGGAAGGTCTGAATAGATTCTGAATGAAGTCCTTTAGGCAGAGGTGACCTTTTATGGCAGTTGCACTTGGCACATGAGCACTGGTGATTCACATCAGGAGGGCAGCAGGATCTCTTCAGTTTCTCCTGAAGTGAGGATCTGAAGTCTGTTGTCTTTCTAGGAGTAATATCTTTGAGGGTGATGCCGTTGTTGGGTCACTGCACTAAACTGTAGGCAACACTCCAAAAAGTTGTGTCCCTGAGGTACCTTCAGTGACATCCCCGAAAACCTTGTTATGAGTAGAACTCACAAAACAGCAGCTCAGATTGCATCTGGGGTAATTAATGACAATTCAGATTTCCCTATTGATTCTCAGGCTTGCTCTTCCACCATTCTCCTCATTTTGCCTATCTAAAAAGAGGGAGAAAGCAAAGACTTGTTATTGAAAATGGTTTTGAGGGAATTGGTTAATGAAATTTTCTTACTACATTCAATGCTTGATGCTTTTGACTGAAAGAATAATAAATGTATATTGTGACTTGTTATGCCAGTGTATACTGTGGAGCATAATCAGCTATATACTATCTTCCCACACTACCAAAAGAAAAATTGAGATATAGAGATTGAGCTTTCATTTCAGTGCCCTGTGATACTTGATTTACAACTGAAAAGCTACATAGTGAATTTTGCATAATGATTACAGAGCTTCATAGATATCATAGCTGCTGTTTTGAAAAATGTGCTTGGTTGTTTGCTAATCATGTTTTTCCTTTGTGACAGAAAACAACAAGCCCTTGGAGCAATCCTCATGAGGGACCCTCATGGTGTGAGCTGCTGTGTAGAGGTGGCTTCAGCCCCATGCTCTGCCCTTTGGGCTTTGCTGGGCAAGTGTTTGGGCAGAGGCACCCATGTACCCAAGCTTGTGGGGTCATGGTTCAGCAACTCTATTTTGCTCTTGACCTGTGCACAATATTTCCATTAAAATGTGTCTGTCCGGGAAATTGCGCAAGCTTATTTGTCAGCCTGCCTTACTGGGAAGCAATAATTAATTCTTAAAGCTGGAATATTTCTCTTCTAAGGTATTTGGCTCTTTCTGCATTACTAAAAACATCCTCTTCTCAGGTTTCAAATGGCCCTTGTAAACATTTCCTAGTAATTTTATCCCTTGGGGTGGTTAAGCCAATATCAACAAATGTTGTTTCTGGGAGCAGCTCAGAGCAGAGGGGACTACACTCTCCCCTAGCCGAGGCAGTGAGGTGAATTACAGACTCCTGTCCTGCAGCTGGTACTTCCTTCCACTCCTGCAAACAAATCCCCGAGCCAGAAAAGTAATGTGCCTGTGGTTTGGGGCTCAGAGCCTGAACCTTTCCACAAGCCTTTAAGAGCTTGATGATTTGATCTGAACCACGCTCAGCAAGCAGACCTCCCAATGCCACCATTTCTTTTTGGTATTAAAAGTCCAAATGTCTCTTTTAACCCTGGGAGACAGATCTGGCAGAAACCCAAGGAGTGCAGAGAACATGAAGAAACCATAGCGACAGCAGCGTGGTATTGGCAGCCCCTCAGGATCTGAAGCAGATAAGGAGGTGTTGCCTTCCTGTAAGAAAACAGCAGGCAATAAATATGGATGCGATTAGTCTGATTTGGTTGAAAATTCATTGGTTACACTCAGATGCTGAGAAAGAAAAGGGCTGGCTGTCACCCCAGCGTGCCCAGGGCCAGCAAGGAGGGCAGCAGCCCCCAGCTCCCAAGGAGTTCATGCCCATGGCTGGGGAGACTGCCCTCAGCTCAACTGAGACTCCTCAGCAGCTTCTGAGTAAAGCATGCACCACAGCCCACAGAAAGGGGATACGCCTGAGATGGATCATTTTGCTCCTCCACAGGGAGAAACCACCCTGCGTCGTGGGGGCACCTTGGTCTGTGCTCCCCAGCAATGAG